CGCCGCCCCCTCGGGCCGCGCAGTTCCAGGGACCGCCCGGCGCCGGGCTAAGCGCGCGGCCCGCGGGGGGCGCCCGAGAGCTCGGCGGCTCCTGACGTCACCGGGCCGCCTGCGGTTCGGGGCGGGGCTGCGCACGCGCGGGAGGGCGGGGCATGCGTGGGGGTGGGACCACGGTGTACCGGGCTACGGTGTGCGCGACCGCGCGCGGCCCCCAACGCGGTTTCCCCAGGTCCGGAGCCCCGCGGCCGAGCGCTCGGGGGCGCCCACAACACTCGTGGGCCGCGGCCCCGCAGGGCCTGGGCTGCTGGCTGGTGGACGGACAGGGGCGCGCCCCCCGGGGCAGGAATTGGGTAGGGACCCACCTGCACGTCGCGCCCCCAGCTGTCAGAAGGGAGACCCCCGCGCGGGCCCCGCCCCGCCCCGCCGGGAGCTCTCCCAGGAGTATCGCTCGGCGGGGTTCCGGTCCTCCGCCCCCTCGCAAGGGCTCCCAGGTCCGTGGGTGCTCAGAATATGGAGACTTCCTGGTCACGGCTTCCTGGTTACATCATTGGGCTGCATGGGGCCTCGGAGGAAGCTGAGGACACTTGTGTCGTCTCCCAGATCCGAGGACACCTGGTCGCTTTGCGCCCCCGCTCCATCTCCGACCTTACGAGCCCTATGCCGGGACCCACGGGGGCTCAGAGAAACACGGGCCAAGGGAATGCGGGGTGGAGTTGGGAATGCGGGTGTATGTGATGCCAAAGCAACGGGATCGGTATGCAGCTGTGCGCGCGCATGTGTGCACAGAGGTGCCCAGGCATGGTGCTTTTGGCAGCAAGTAAAGGGAATTTTTTTTTAATTGGGGAATTGGGGGATGGGAACAGCGCTGGGGAATTGGGGGAAGGGGAACAGACAAGTTGCTGTCGTTCTGTTCCTCAATCTAGTTGTGGGGGATGTTGCTTCACTGGCCCAAGTTGGCACCATCATTGCGCTCTTCCCTGGCGAGGCAGATTAGTCGCCGGCTTCTGGACGCTTCTGGACGGCCGCTCACTGCGGCTGCTGGCCGCTCACGCTGGCTGCTGGCTACATACGGTAGCCCATGGCAACCCACTGCCACAGGGACTGCAGCCTACGCCGTCGCTGGTGACTCATGGCAGCCCAGCTCCAGGTTGAGCTGTTGTTCAGCATCTTAGCTGTAGAGGGCAGTGTCACTGGCCCTCATATGTGGGATCCGAACCGGGGCCCTCTGGCATCCCAAGCGAGTTCTTAACCATGGCGCCACTCGACCGCCCAAGGGAATTTTTTTTTCCCCGGCCGCTGTCACTCGTACCAGCCTGGGGTCCTCCGTGGGTCAAGAGAGACCTGAAGCGCACTTTTCAGGCTGTGAGGCCACATACTGCTGCCTTCCACTGGAGTGAGTGGCTCTTCCCCCAGCTTAACCCCAGGAGGAAGACTGGAGGCCACCAGAGGGAGCCCCACTCTGTCGAGAGTGACAAGGAGTGCCCCTAGGATGGGACCCAAGGTGATGGGGATGGGAGCGTGTGATGCCCTGTGACCCATTCCCTGCACCCACCTTGAAGCTGGCTAGAGCCTGGGACTCGCCCATCTGCCTGGTCATGACCATCCTCAGGCATGGGCCAGCGCAGGAAAACACCCCACCAACCCACCAGTGACTGGAGGAACCAGAGTTTGGACATAAGTCCCTGAGCCCAGGCTGGGAACCAACCCCAGGTCAGCCTAGGCCAGGGGTCCTGCCCTCCATTCCCCTAGGCTCCGATGGGGAGAGCAGGCAGGGCTCTGTGAAGTTGACAACCATTCTGCAAAGCCTGGGCCTTCTCCCTCGGGTCTTGGTTTGCCCAGAGGTCATCTGAGGAAGCCAGGCAGGATGGCTTTAGACAGAGGGTCCTCCACAGCTCCTGCTGCGTGTCCAGGGAAGGAGGGAGACAGTGCCTGTCCTGAGAGCTCATGGGGGACTAGCATCCCCCACGCCAGACACAAATGGCTGCTGGTCACACAGATTCATGGCATGTGATGCCCCTGAGCTTTTCTCTCCCACCTGACAGCCCAAGTCACAGGAGAGAAGCTGGTCATGGGCTTTGGGTAGGCCAGGCCCTGCAAAGAGGGGTGAGTTTGTGGCCAGAGCCGGAGCCCTTACAGGAGGGACCTTGCCTGGTGGCAGTGGTGGCCACTGTGGGGCCAGGAGTCACGGGGCTAAGAAGGAGGCACATTCTCAAGCAAGCCACAGCTCCCAGGTCAGCCTGCCTCCCTGCCTCAGCACTGTGGGTCTTTGTGTATGTGTTGGGGGGAGGTGTGTGTGAGAAAACTTGAGTAGCTGTCCCAGCATTTCACGTGACAACCCTGCTCACAGCAGTCTAGACTCAGAGTAGGACCTGAGCACAGATTCCTGGCCAGCTCTTTCCAGGCACCTTCTAAAATAACCACTAAGCATGGAGCTGGTGAAAAATCAGTGACCCCGCCCCAACTACCATGTAAGTAAGAGGCGTTTCTACCCTTGTCTCCTGCTGCCTGGTGATCTGGGATGGAGGGCTGTCTTTCCCCCCGGCTCACCCCCCACCCCCGTTTCTGGGACCTAATAAGTAATAAAGCAGGTGACTTTACTTCCTTTATGAGTTTATTGACACTGTGCCTTCATGAAAATGGCTCCAGGGTTTTCATTTCCCCAGAGTTGGAGCTTGGATGCCAATCTGTGTGGGTGGCTGCTGCCTCTTCACACCAGGGTTTGCCAACATAGGGTGACAGTCACCTTTTCCTGCCCGCTGCTGTCCTGGGAGGGCTCTGGAGGGTAGGGTCAGGATTGGGGACAAAGAGGCATCCTCTTTCCACCCCCTCCATCGGGGGGTGGCACCTGTCTGCAGGTGCTCCTGCCTTCTGCTACCTCCACCTGCATCCTCACACATCCGGTCCCATCTTGGCATCTGCTTCTCAGAGGACCGAACTAACACTGCCCGCCTCTGCCCCCAGGTCCACCACGTGTGTCCCTCCCCCCACGTCCAAACAAACCCTCAGGAGAGGACTTGAAAGTAAGTGCTGAGAAACTGGCTGTGACGCAGCTCTTCCAAGGACACCAGCACCCCGATCCCCACTCCAAGAACTGGGCAGTGGCAGTGGGAGTTCAAGTGAAGGAAAGCTTTGGGGTTCCGCGGCCCAGCTCTGCCCCGGAGGTGGACAGGGAGCAGCAGAGGCATACCTGGGCCGCTCGGTCTAAAATCAGGGATGATCTTTATTGTGAAGGCAGCAAGTTACCAGGAGGAGCAAATGTGGGTGTTGGCAGTGGCCACACAGGCCACTCGAGAACCATCTTCAGCCCTCCCCCATCAGACAAAACAAGCCAAAAAATGACTGAACCCCAGACTCCAGCCCAGGGAGGGGCCAAAAGTCACAAGGAGCCCAGTGACTGTCAAGACAGCATTTTGAAAGGAGGCTAGAGCAGGCTGGGAAGCAGAGAGAGGGCCCCAGGGCAGCCCCAGGTGGCCAGACACAGCACCAAGGGCCTGGGGTGTCCAGTCCTCAGGACCCATGCAGAGCGGATGGCAGCCTGGTGGGTAAGGCAACTCCCCACAAGAAGGGGAAAAGGAAGGGGCATGCCAGTCCTGAGGATGACCCCAGCTCCTAGGGTGTCTTCCTGGCCTGCCCCTGCAGAGGCAGGGTTCTCCCACAGGGCAGAGGCCTGCAGAGCCTGAGGGCTAGGTTGTGGGGGGGAGCCAGGGGCAAGGGCCAGCAGGGTGCACCTGCACAGAGGGTGCAGCCCCAACCCTTGGCAGGGTCCCAAGGAGCCCACTGTTGCTTCGAGGATGAGTGGCTCCTGAGAGGTGTCTGGAGGCAGTCTTGCTCTGCACCTGACCAGGCCAAAGTTCCAGGACGAGCGGGACCAGCCGCCAGAAGGGGGGCCAGGTGAGCTACATGACGGTCAGTCAGGAGGATGTCCTTGGACACTGATAGACAGGAGCTGCTGGCCAGCCAGGAGCCCCAGTCACCTTACTTGCAGTACTCCTTCCTGAACTCTGGAAACCAAGGGAACAGGTGGGTGGCTGTCCTCTGCTCGTCATCGCAATGGGGAATACAGGGCGGACATCTGGCAGGATGGCCCAAGGGTTTCTGCAGCACTGAGGTGGCAGGGGACTCCTGCCTGTGGGGCTAGCTGGTACCTTCTGAGAGTGGGTGGAGTGGGGCATGGGCCCAGCTCTGATGGGCAGAAGCAGTCTCTCTGCTAGCCACTCACCTTTGTCCAAGTCGATGTTCTTAGCCGGCAGAGGGCTGTGAGCCAGCTCAGCCCTCTCTTTCAGGATGTTGTTTTTGTAATCTGGTTCAGGGAGAGAGCAGGGTGAGCCCCACTCCCCCAAGGTGTACCTCTGCCAGCCCAGGCCCAGGGGCCTGACTGCGTGCCTTGATGTGTGGGGAGCCCCTCACCTAGTTGGATATCCTCACTCCTGTAAAAAGCCTGGTCCCCTGTGACCACAGCGAACTCTGCCATGTTCACGTCCTTCCTGGAGGGGAAGGGTGGGGGGAGGTTAGAGCAGCAGATGGGGTGGGGCCTGGCCCTCTAGGACAGCCGGGAGGGGGCACTCACCCCTTTGATTTCCCGGACTTCTTGTCTGAGTATTCGTAACCTGGGGAGGGAGACTCGTGTTGGGGGTACTCTCGCCCCCTCCCCAGCGCCCCCCAGCTCTGAGGAGCCCTCCCGACAAAGAGGCTCATCGGGCCCCCTGCTGGCCCTCTGCTGAGGCAGCGCACCCCAAGCCCCGCCTCCGGTCCGGAGAGGCTTCCTAGTTCTGGCCTCAGCCCTGCGTTCGCGCCGGCTCACCTCCTCGGCGGCGCTGCCGGGTGGCCAGGATGACGGTGATGAGCAGCAGAATGAAGAGCAGTAGAGTGGCCAGCACGTAGCCCAGCTGCTGGAAGAAGTGGGCTCGGCCCTCCGGGACTATGACGTTGATGACGTTCCGGCCACGCGCAAGCGTGGGGTCTGCAGGGGCCGTGCGGGGGCAGCGTCAGCGAGCGCTGCGTGGAGGACCACCCGGCCGACCCCCGCCCAGGCCACCCCTGCTGCGCCATGTGGCTCGGGAAAAGACAGGCGGCCGCAGCCCGTGGAGGCCTCCCCTGGCTAACATCCAGGTCCCTTATGTGGGACCGGGAGGGGCCGGGCCTCGCCTTTCCCAGCCCCTAGGCGGTCCCCAAGAGCCCAAGGCGGCCTCCTGCACCTGGGGCGGGGGCGCTGCTGTGGCTGGAGCCGTTGCCTGGGGAGTCCCGCGGGGGCGGCTGGGGGGCCGGCTCGGTGACCTTCAGGTGGAAGACGCGGCGCTCGTGCAGACCGCAGTAGTGGTGGTGCAGGTGGCAGGAGTAAGTGCCCTCGTCGGCTGGCTCCAGCTGGTCGATGCGCAGAGAGAAGTCGCCGCGCGCAAAGGCGTCCGCCTCCACCGCCACGCGGTCGCGCAAGAAGGGTGGCCCGTAGGCGCGGCGCTCTCCCGATGCGTACAGGTCGAGCAGGCGGTCGGCGCGGTCGTGCGGGACCCCGGGCGGCTGCCGGTCCCAGTGCACCACCTGCTGCGCCTCCTCCAGGTGCCAGTCGGTCCACACGTGAGCGCGGTTCACACAAGTCAGCAGCGCGGGCGCGCCGCGCTCCACCACCAGCACTTCCTTCTCGCCGTCCCAGTGCGCGCTGGCGGCCCGGGCTGGGGGCGCAGGTCGATCAACGGGGGCCAAGGGAGGGAAAAGGAGGGAATGCGGGGGGGGGGGCAGCTAGGGCTGG